TAGGCATTCTCTTATAATGCAACTCTTTCCCCTTAAACATCCACTACTTTTGATAAGGTCTATGTATGTGTCTTGATAATCCTAGAGCAGATAGGCCCTCCTAAGAGCTTCATTTAGGTAACTATTCCCTAGGAGTGTAATCTGGTATTGCTACTGTGTAAATAAGCATGGGTGCTCCTCAAAAGGTTAAAAATAGAACTACTATGTGACTCAGCTACCTCTGAGCAAAGATCTCTATATCCTACCACAGAGACACTTGTATACCCAGATTTATTGCTGCTCTCATCAAAATAGCTAGGAAATTAAAGCAGCATCAATGTCCATCCAATAATGAATGAATAACAAAATGTGGTACATATACCTGGTGGAATTTTATTCAGTCATAAATAAAAATAAAATTATGGCCAGGCAGTGGTGGTACACACCTTTAATCCCAGCACTTGGGAGGCAGAAGCAGGTGGATTTCTGAGTTCAAGGCCAGCCTGGTCTACAGAGTTCCAGGACAGCCAGGTCTACACAAAGAAACCCTGTCTCAAAAAGCAACAACAAAAATAAATAAATAAATAAATAAATAAATAAATAAATAAATAAAATTATGTAACTTTTAGGGAAATAAATTGATGTGGAAATTATTTTATTACGTGAGGTGGCCCAGTCTCAGAAAGACAAATGTTCTCTCCCATGTGAATCTCCTATCTTCTTATGTGAGAGAGTGATATAGGTATAGGCCATGAATGAAGAGGGAGGTTAGAGGCAACAGAAGGTCTTGAGGAAGGAGAGAGATAATAGGAGAGACAGAAAAGATAGGTTACCAGGTAGATGGCCAGGGTGTGGGGGAGGAGAAGAAAGAGCAGAATATCCACATGGAAAGACATGCAGACCTCTTCTCCACATGTCAAAAGCCAAAAGTTCTGAAACTCAGAATTCTTCATCACATACTTAGCATCAAATCCTGATCCTGTATGAAACATTTTGCATCAAAACTTTGTCCACACTGTCAGATCATTTTCCTTCAATTGACAGTGATGTAACTATGGAGATCTACTATGCTCTCACTTAGAAATGTATGTTATATGATGTATGACGCATGAATTAGACTACATTTTTAAAAATCAAAGTCTGTGTGTTTGTCCTATGCGTGCAGGTTCACGTGGGTATGCAGGTACATGAGTGTGGACATGCACACATGTGCTCTTATAGGTGAAGGCCAGAAGACACTCTTGGGTACTGCTCCTTAGAGACTTTCCACTATTTTGTTTTTTGTTTTGTTTTGTTTTCATACAGACTTTCTGCACTGGTCTGGAGCTCTCTAAGTAAGCCAGTCTGCCTGGCCAGTAGGTCCCAGTGACCTCCTTGTCTCCCCTACTCCATCCTCAAGAGTTAAGTATCCAAAAGCTTATTACCACACCTGGCTTTTTTATGTGTGTCTTGAGTATTGAACTCAGATCCTTGTTATTACAAGGCAAATATTTTACTGAGATAGAAACAAAATCTTTAACCAGAAATCTATTGAGTAGTAAGGGTTTCTGTTGATAGTCACAGAGGCATGATAAGGGAGGGATATTACAAGATATCAGCTGCTCAGCACTATGCTGAAACAGTCCCCAAAATTAGTCCATTAGTTCTTCACAACCATTCTTCAAAGAGATCTATTGTCATGCCATTTTAGAAACCAAAACAGAAGGGCTTCAGTTAATCATGACAGAAGTAGACTCATTATAATCCCAGGTCTTACTTTCAGATCTTGGAAACTCAATGTTTAGTCACAAAGGACCACGAAACTATTTGTGAGGAACATTTCTGAGTAACCAAGATTCAACTTGATCAACCACATGTCGTAGTGAGCTGATAAATGCAACAGTCCTTTCTTTCTGCCCAATCTGAGTTCTTGCTTCTGTCTACTGTTTGCTCACCTAATCAGATACTGATCACAGAAAGGAGGGTTGTCATTAATGCCATGAATGTAGGTAGCCACCAGAATCACTGCACACCTCTGGTCACCATCACATGCCTTAATAGAGAAGGACAGAGCACTTGCAAACCCAGTCTTCTCCACATCGAGACGGTTAGTCGTAACCACGCTCCCCTTCTCTGTAACAAAACAGTACATCCTGCTCAGTGGGACCAGATTGTCATTTTTTAAATTACTTTGTTACATATATAGCTACAGAAAAGAGAAAGTAAAAATTATGCTCTATTCTCTAGCATTAGGGTGATGATTCAAAGTGCATGCAAAGTGTTAAATTAGATATCACTGAAATGTGTTATTAATCATATTAATGGGTAGGAAAACAAAATTATTTTCACTTAGGAGAATAGAGAAGACTCTCTAGAAGAGATTCTTCTTCTAGGACTTGAAAGTTACATAATAGAAAAAAAATCAATAAATAGGAGATGATTCCCTGCAGAGAGAATCACAGATAAAAATGCTGCTAGAACAGAACTTGTTCTTATTCATCCATCACTTAAATCCAATAAATATTGCTGAGTGTCATCTATGTAGCACATATGTATTGTAGCTACTAGATACAGTATGGAAACATAAAATCTCCATATTTGTGGAATTTATATTCTAAGCGTGGATACAGCCCTCAATATGTGAAGAAAAAACAAAATTATATACTTTTGGAAATGAGCTCTATAATGTGAACTTTTTTACAGACAATAATGTCTAATGGTCAGGTGCTTAGAAAACACAAGGGCATGGTTTCAAGGCCAACAGCCTACTTGCTGGCTCAGAATAACAGGCAGAATAACAGGGGGTCCTAGGGGAGGGCAGTATGGGGCTGCTAGGGGAGGGCAGCATGAGGGTGCTGAAGGAGGGTTGCATCGGGGTGCTAGTGGGGGGTAGCATGTGGGTGCTGGGGGAGGGCAGCAGTGGTTGAGAACAAGGTAAGGGCCAGAGAAACAGGTCCCCAGTGGTAACATAAGAAGTCTGGGCCAAACTTCAAGTGCAAACAGCAAACTGAGAGGAGCTTTGAACAGAGAAGGAATATGGCCCAATTTGAGTATTCAAAAACTCATTAGTGGCTTTATGGAAATGCAGAGCAGCTAACTGTAAAACAGGCAGCCCATCTAAGAGATCCATACAGATCAGAATGTGAGTACAAGCAGATTGTTTGGGAGGCAGTCCAGGGCAGTGTGACATGGGGAAGAAAGGCATGGAAAAAACACTACCAAAAAAAGTTCATCATCAAGCCAGTTCCCACTTTTGAAAGCAAGAACCTCACATCACTGAAGAATTCTGTGAGCCAGTGTAAATCATACTGGTGATTATTCTATAGCAAGGAAAACAGCTGGAGGATTTGTACACCAAGTCATGAATAGCAGACTTCCTCCATGTCCAGCCTGGGATGTGTGTGGGGGTGGGGGTGGGGGGGAAACAGTAATGAAGCTGTCAGAATCCCAGATGGATGGTTGGAACCAAGCTTACCACACTGAGCAGGTATTACACTGCCTCACCCCAGACTGCATGATTGGATAAGAATGAAAGACAACTCTACTAAGAGTTGAGTTAGGTCTAAGAAAATGTGTTAAAAGGGCATATTAAGAGCAGAGTTAATAATATTCATAACAGTCGTGAAGATACATGTATTAGCAGAGGAATAAGTAGGATGCTGCCCCAGTAGAATTACTCATCAGACATTTCCAAAGTCTCCCTCACACCCCTCCAGAAACCAGGTGTGTGGGCAAGAAAGAAATACAATTACTTAGGGCAGGGCAATGTGTTTGGGGGGGACAGGAATACAGTTGCTTAAACCTACCTCTGTCCACTACAAAATAATCATCCACTGTATCTAGCTCAAAGGTTAAACCTCCCAGGTTATCTTCATCGGCTGCCTGGCACATTGCAATCATCTTCCCAACTGGAATTTCTTCATCCAGTGTGATGTTGACTTTGTGGTTCAGAGTTGAGTTTGTGGAGATAACACTCAAGACCCCGTTTTCAATATTGAACAAGCTTGTTTTAAAAGAAAAGGTTATTAGTGTGGTACAAGCTGTGTTTTCTATCCATCTGGTGCTGATGGTATACAGACTGGATGGTGTGATGGTACAATAGAAACCATATTCATGACAGAAGTATCTAAAGCACACACTGATGGCTTAGCTACAGTTTACACAAAATCCTAAGACTTATTATGGGTTACTCATTCTTCCCTGAAGGCACTTCCCCCAGGAACTCAGGACCATGTTCATCTCTATTTGATAGATGTGAAAACTGACAGGTGAATAAATTAAAGAACTTCCAAAAGTAAACACTGAGGTGATCCTGAGAGGGTTAGATCACAAGCCTCTTTGCTCTAGAGTATGCATGATCACTGTTCTGGATAAGTGCTAGCTTTACAGAGATGCTGACCTCAGTGTGCTTCTGTCAACTCCCTGATTACAACACTGACTAGAATCTTTCTTAAGAGAAATAATAACTAAGCCAGACCTCACATATTAAGGGTGCACTGCATGAATAACACCTTATTTTCTTGCAATTTCAATATATTTTTATACTTTAAAATTATTTTGGTTTCAGTTTTAAGTAAGCCTTCTTTGTACTCTTAGTGTGTCAATTGTTTATTCAATGCTTGCTTATTTTTTCATTCTCAGCTAAAAAGAAAAAAAAGAAGGAAGGAAATGTTCAAGGTCATATCAAGTAGTATGTTCCTTACCTGCAGGCAAGAGTAGGGTCCTTATCATTGACATTGATGAGAAAAATCTTTAGATTTCCAGTAGCAAAGAGTCCTCCAGCATCAACCACTTTAATAACCAGTGAAAAACTAAAGGCACGGACACAAAAAAGACACCTAAGACTTCCTGACAAACAGCAGGCTTCCACCGAAGCAGGATCTATCAGACTTAACTGATCAGACACACAACTGATTCCTCTGGTTAAGATCAGTACTCCCAGTTATTTTAGCAATTGGAAATGGCTAACACTTAGTAAAGCAACAAATGAGTCAAATCAACTAACAGAAGAGGCTATGGTAACTTTTAAAAAGTGTGCCAGAGCAAGCTTTTGCACTACATATACTAAAGTTGGAACATTACAAAGATTAGCATGGTTCCTGTATAAGTATGACACACAAATTCCTAAACTGTTTAAATTTTCTCTTTAAAGTTTGTGAATTCCTATAGAAGGGGGCATGGGGACTCTGGAAATTCCTTAGCATTTTGTACAAAAATCACTAATAGCTATGGGTTTGTACCCTTTAAACAGTGATTTCTTTTATTAAACACTAACAGGTGCCAAGAACAAAGTCTTAGGAGTGGTCCAATGTGGTAGGACTCATTCACTATCCTGCCATCCAGAGGCTGAAGCAGGAATGAATGGAAATTACAAGGCTATCAAAGATTTAAGCAAACAAATAAAACAGGAAGACGCCTTTAAATAAGATTAGACACTGCAAGAAACATCAGGATGGTTACACAGTTAATGAGGTTTTATTTCACAGAGGTGATGGGAGAAGAGGAAAATGAAAATTTACTTCTTTAATGACCGAAAATGAAAATTTACTTCTTTAATGACGACCACTCTCATCCCTAGACAGTGATTCCCTGAAATCCTGACTCCCAGTGCTGTTCAGATTTGATCCCAACAAATTCCGACTCTAGTCAAACTGAGAGATCTACTTTCTTCCGGAAAAAAAAAATCTTTTTTCACTTGAAATATACCAGTAATTGATACCAAAATGAGCATCTCCAAATCAGTGTGTAACCACTTCTCAACTTATTTCATAATTTGTCTTACAGAAAATTGGTGATTTATAGAAAACTTACTGACAAAAACAAAAAGCCAATCTACCTAAAAGAATGAAGACATTTCAAGAAATGATTCTAGCCAAGCATGGTGGCACATGTCCTTAATTCCAGCTCGTGAGGGGCAAGTTGATCTCTAAAGTCCAGCTGGTATACATAGCTGGTATACATAGTGAATTTCAGACCAGCTAGGACTAAAGAGTCAGACTCTGTCTCAAAATAATATAATTCTGAGAAGTCTTAACTACAACAATGGGGAAATGGCAGGACCAATATTCATAACATGATAACTCAAACTCAGATTTCACTTTGGAGTAGCTGGATGATGACAAGGGGGAGGAGCCATGGTGATCCTTCTAATATCTTCATCAGGATTCAAGCAAGTGATTTTATAGCACTGTTCCTCTTTTCAAGAACAGAATTTAGAATTTTTTAAATTTAAAAATTAACAATTAAAAGAATTAAACCGGGGCTGGAGAGATGGCTCAGCGGTTAAGAGCACTGACTGCTCTTCCAGAGGTCCTGAGTTCAAATCCCAGCAACCACATGGTGGTTCACAACCATTCGTAATGAGATTGGATGCCCTCTTCTGGTGTGTCTGAAGACAGCTACAGTGTACTCATCAATAAAATAAATAAATAAATGTTAAAAAAATTTTAAAAAAAACTATTTAAAAAAAAAAAAAGAATTAAACCAGAGCTAGTGAGATGGCTCTGCCAGTACCCGAGCTGGATCCCTAGAACTCAAGCACCAATGAAAAGGGACATTCACTTCACAGTGTATTCTCAGGCCTCCACAAGTGCACCATGACATGTGTGCCTGCCACACATCATAGGCAAAACAAAAATTGCTAGCAGGAAAAGAATTGATGAAAATCAGTTCTTATCCAAAATTTTCCTTATTTCAGTAAAAGTCAACTCAGCAACCCAGGCAATTCTGCAGCAAGAAGGAGATGGAAGGAAGGATATGCACTAGGGACAGGGAATAAATGATCATCTTGGCCACGCAATCAGCACTCCCATTTTCTACTCTTGTTTCCTCTGATTTCAGGGTAATAAGAAAAAACAAACAAAAAGGGGAAAACTTTCATTCAAACCCAGAAAAAAGTCTCTTTCCCAAACTTTAATTAATTTTCATTTGCTAACAAATCTTAAGACATAAATATCTATGGTATATTGCTTTTTGTTTAAGATAATCTCATATATCCTAGGCTAGCCTTGAACTCACTATGTACTCAAAGATGATCTCCCCTCCCTGGTACTAAGAATATGGGTGTAGGGTAGGATTCCTGGTTGATGCAGTGCTGATGATCAAAACCCAAGACCCCAAGTGTGTAAGGGAAACAGTCTACCACCTGGGCTACAACCCTAGCACCAACCTAATGATTGTCTTAATGACCTGGTTGTGGACTCTCCTACAGTGGGACCTGACCTATATAATCTGTAAGCAGCCAATCTTCTCTGGGCCTTTGCCTTCCAGGAAACTGCTTTGGATATTTTCCATTCTCCACTTTCATTGTAGCAAAGACCCACTTATGAAAGGCAGGGGAAATTTTATTGAAATCCCTTCAGAATCCACTTCCTTTTCCTATAAAGCACTTTGATAAAATTATATAATTGAAAGGGGTAAGCATTAAATCATTGTAAACATAAAAATGTTAACTTCAACCCATGGTGACCTGCTTAGCTGATGCAGATGGATAAGAAAGCAGCAGTGTGCTAACTTTTATAAAAATGCTGATTATTACATTAAAAAGAAATTCTGCATTACTGGTATCTGGAGAGGCAACCTGCCCACTTCCCTGGCAGGGTACAAACAAAACTACCAAAATAATCTTCATGCTTCACTGTGATGAAAGCAAGTGGCATAGGAAGCATCCCCATAGACGTCCAAAGCAGCAATGGCACAATTACAAACGACCGCTAATTCCATTTCTAAGACAGTACCAAGAGCAACTTCATGTGAGGAGCACATTAAGAGCAGATATGGGGAATTTTTTTCAAAGGAGAAATTCCAGCCAAAGGACTAGTATCTCCAGAGAAAATCCAGCCCAGTGTTACCTTCTCATGTCACTCTCAAAATCCAAATCAGCTGCTGAGGAAATTGCCCCAGTGCTGTCGATGGTGAAGCCAGAGCTCTCTGGGGAAATGGAGTACTGTTTGTTGGATAGAAAAGAGAAGACAAAATATTACAGAGGCACAACTGATTCCCTGGTGAGGTTCTTCAACCTCTAAGAACCAATCCTGAACTTTCAAAAAATGTTAGCAGGTCATGGACAATGATGATGATGATGATGATGACGATGATGATGAGCCTACTCTATACAACTGACTTCAGATCAGACACGTGCTCTTAAAAGCTAAAAAGAACAAACCGCATTTTTCTGATCTCTACATTCTTCATATTACCTGAGTATTTGTTAGAATATCTCACTCATTGCTAGGCAGTGGTGGCACATGCCTTTAATCCCAGCACTTGGGAGGCAGAGACAGGCAGATTTCTGAGTTCGAGGCCAGCCTGGTCTACAGAGTGAGTTCTAGGACAGCCAGGGCTATACAGAGAAACCATGTCTTGAAAAGCAAAAATTAAAACAAACAAACAAACAAACAAAGAATACCCCACTCAAAATGACATGTAAAGACAAAAGGAATTTCATTGCTTAATGAACACTGAGATCTTATGGATGGTGAGTATAGGCTTTGGAAGCTGGAGGTGGATCAAGGACCTATGAGAAGAAGGAAACTTGAAATCCTCAGCATCCACTCATTTGATTTGGCCTGTGCAGATACAGACAATGCTTTACCAAGTCTTCCTGTGCTTTGCTGACTTTTGACCTCATCCACCTTTCAGCTGTTTTGTTAAAGTGCTTCAAATACACTGTCATTGGAGTCTCAGCATCCTGAGTCACGGGTTGAACTGAAAACGTAAGGGTTCTTTGGAAAGTCAGTTGTGTTGGATAGTGTTTTGCTAAGGCAAACATATGAAGGAAAGTTTTGCTGAAGCAGGCACAGGTGAAAGAATGTTCTGCTAAAGCAAGTACATGAAAGGACACATGAAGGATTCTTCACTAATGGCACTCATGTATTGATTGTTCCACCTTACATTTTGTAGTTGAGCTCCATTTGTCAAGGCTCCATAGAGAGAAATACGCTGAAAAATCTTCTGGTGGTGTGCTGCAGCTTCTTGCCACTTCCTGGGCTGATGAGTGATATCAGCTGAGATGGACTCATGTCTAAGACACAATCTGAGGCAACACCCATGGAGGATATGTGGTGTTTGGAGGGAGTATAAAAAGGACTCAATGGACAGTGATGGAGGCTAGGCTAGGTTTCCTTACAGAGCTAGCTGGGCAACACTTGTCTTCACTGAGCTGAGAAAGGCACAGCTGAGAACTTCTGGCATTCTCATTGGCCCTGGTCACTACTGCTGACTCATGTGGCGTTTGAGGCCTGGCTGTCTCTTCGAGGTAGTGTCACTGCTGCTGATTCGTGTTTGCTGTCCCGACTCTACCAAACTGGACTGCTGGTATATCTGTGAAGTGTTTGCAAGTGGATTGAGCTGCCACTGCTGACCTGTGAACTGCACTGCCAATTTCCTTACAACAGACAGGAGTTGTTCCAAAGAACCATTTCTAAACAGGTCCACTTCCCCTGTATGCTTTCTTTTCCACTACCTCTGGAGGGTAATGGACTAGAAGGGAGGTTAAAGTGTTTAAGAACCATTGTTAAAAATAGGATTTGAAAAAATTAAAGTTACAATGCATGTTGGTGTTATCCCACTTCACAAACAGGAAATCCAAGGCTTGGAAAATTCCAGGGGCTTGCCTTGACCAGCATCCTAAGGACAAGTTCCTGCCCAATGGAGCAGGTTAGGCAAGGGTTTCTAACTTAGGTGAGAACCAATTTATAGAAAAGGCCAAGAGCATAAAAGAAAAATCTACAAGAGCCTTAGTATCAGGAATTAATTATACCAAGTGCTACTGACTTAATCATTGTGCGTACCCAGGATAATTTAATAGAGAAAATTAAACACAGAAGGACTGCAAAGCAGACTAAAAATCATTTGGAGAAATTAGTGACCTTTACATTGATTGATTTTCTGATGAATCACCATATTCTGACTAATTTCAATTCATACCTCCCATGCCTATCCATCTAAATAAGATTGAGCTGATTGTTGCTGCTTCTGTAGAATGATGTGGAATATTAGCATGCCGGAATGGCAGGCAAATTCATCACATACATACTATTAGGGCAAACACAGGAATAATGAGGCCTGATTCATAAGGGAATGACAAGAGGATGAGTGGAAATTAAATGACCTAAGAAGCTCACCAATACTGTCTGCCTATGTA